GATTAGTTAACTGAGTAAACATGATTGATGTATTATACATGTTTGTTTACACAATTTACATGTATATTGTTGTACGTGTAGGTCTTGGTTAAACCCATATATTTATAAATTTCGTTGTTGTCTGTCAGATATAAAACCAAACAACACTATTGATTAAATGACATTATTATTATTATTTTATTACATTGACTCATCGTTTAAATTAACATTTGTACATTTGGTATAGTACAGTGTTACGAGTAATTCTCAGTTCGAGATCTTATCATCATTGCCCCTGTTATTTTACTTGTTTTTATTTGTAAAGATAATATATGACTAAGCATAAAATTAATTAATTATTGCTGACGATCTCAAATTATAAAAATAATTTCGAAATTTATATATTATATATAAGCTATGTCGTAAAACACCTGACGTTTTCCTTATCAGTTCATTTTTACCAGATGCACAACTGTGTCATATGATATCACTGTGAACAGTAAATTGTGCTAGAAATGCCATCAAGTAAATGATACTATTTCATCATTCAAAACAAACGAATTGATATAATGATGCTGATGATAAAATTGCATGTATCACTATCATGTTTGATTCAATGCATACATATATTATTAGTAACTGATGAAAAAAAAACACGGCACAAAATATGATTTCAATTTAACAACTTTTAGTCTAACACTTATTACTAGCACATCTCAATGTCACTTGTGCGCTCTGTTATTACGCTCGCTTATTACTGACTACTTTACTCTTACATTCTGTCAGTAAATTTACATTTTTACCCCAGGAAGAAGATTAACTATCAAGCGTTGGTTAGCTACAGGGATTTGATTGGTTACAGGTTCGAGCACAAGTTGATATCAGTTAGAGAACCACTGGAAAATCTGAGAGTACTGAACAGCTGTCTTGTTCTGGTTTGTGACCCTCCATCGGTACGCATCAACCAGGGTTTGAACCCCCAGAACCTTGCTGTGACAAACCCATAGATCATTCAGCCACTGGGACGCCCTTTTCACGATTTCTGTAATGCAGCGTCTAACTAGTATCTGCCTAATTAGTGTTTATGCAAAAGTTGAATGAATGAAACTCCATAATGGTCAATGAAATTAATTTATCAATTCTCGAAGTTATTTGATAGATAGAGTAAGCTTTATGGAAATTGATGAAAAAAACTGAAATCAATGACCAGCAGGCACTAACTGCCTCCAGCCACCTAACATTGATTCAGAATCCGCCGCAAAGGCGAGTTTTCTAGTGTTAGGCCGGACAAACTTCTCTGTTATTCATGAAGTCATGAATTATGCATGTACTGACATTATAATCTTATTGGACAGTTTTTGATTCGTTTATTTACGGTTTAAATTCCTGAAGTTCTGTCGAATAAACGCTGTCGCGGTTTTTGTTTTTGTTGTTGTTATTGTCAATCATCATTTTTTTCCAGTCTGACTTTTTTGTTTATCTCAGTTTTGGGATATTTTGAGTAATCATTCGGTTATAGTGTCGTGTCTGGAGGCGTATTTTAGTCAAGCTAGAGGAGAGGTACCATAACCCATTAACACTGTCATAAGAAGCTGATAAAACGCAGTCTTCTGAATATCTTGGGCAGCAATCTTCGGACGTTTGGCATGCGATTTGCTCCTGTCAAATGTAAGACGATGCCGCAGGACTGGACTACTTACTTTACTTTACTTTTACTTTACTTCGGCTATCTCCTACGGGAGGATGAGCCGGCTTCATGAACGAGTTCATGAAGTTTCTTGGGAATTTGGTACGAGTGATGTCCCCAGCATCGCTCGGCCTTTTGTTTGAGAGTGCAGCTCTAGCCTTTACACAGCCAAGTGTGACCTACAAGGCAGTAGGAGTGGAGTAGGGAGCCCACTATCCATTGGCAGCCGGTGACCGGAGTTCGGTTCATACGCCTTTTTGAATGGGGCCAGACATCCAGGACATCCAACAAGCCCTTTGTCCATACGTCTGCCGGTGAGCTTCATACGCCAGTCGTTGAAGGTTTGGAATCAGGGTTTAGCCATCTCCTCTAGACTGTCATCCAATGGACAGTCAACCCGGTGGAGAGCGCCGGGCATCCGCTTTTGCCCTCTCGCTTTAGTGAGAAACACCTCCGCCACGTGAAGGCAGTGAGTAGGACTTCCTCAGGAGAGGCTATGTAAGACGCACGGTCATATGGGAGCATTTCAAGAGGTGTGCGGAGGGGTGGCCAACCCGCAGCGCAAGACACCCACCCCCGACCATCCTGAGGCTTTGGAGGCAGGACTGGACTACACCTACTCATAGCTTGAAGATAGGGAGTGAAGTGGTAGTGTCATTTCACACCAGCTCCAACGGAGTTGATTGCTGACGACAGTCAGCATGGATACAGAATATGCATGTGTGACATTTGCCAATTTACGCCGTCTCTGGTGTAGACGTAATATCCGTCTGGCTATCGATCAAAGGACCTGTTTACTACCCAATATCTCACTCCGTCCTGCCAGGCATGTCCGTTCTATCTCTCTTGTTAAATTGCTTGATACGGCGAATAATACTGAGGTTAGGCGTCGAGTGCTAGGTAATGAGGGAAAGTCAGTCAATATGGTTGTGAAGCCACATCGATTGAGATGGCTAAGGCATGTCTCATGCATGTCTAGCCATCGCCTTCCTCGACCAACGGGAAAACAGCTAGTGGTGATCAGACCAAAACTTGTGATCAGTCCATGGAAACCTTGACAGTTAGGTTAAGCCACGTAGGGAGGTGTAGACTGCTTGGCTGATTGAGGTCCTTGGGATGGTAAGAACCAATGGCTGCAGACAATTGGTGATATGGCTCAAAATCGTTCTCTGTGGCATCTCCATTAAACCTTAATGTTTTCTCACGTTACTATTCTTCCTCCATCACATTTCTGCTAATCGTCCTTTTGAGCCTCTTTTTCTCCTCTCCTTTGTCTTCCTTTGTGTGCTACATGGAGTGTGTCAAGTTGAACTGTTGCACTTCTATGCAAAGTTTTATGTTGAACTCAGTAAGTCCGTCATAACACATAGTTTGATATCCCCACTAAAAGCTTGACTGATAGAATCCAATTTGCGCCAACACCAAGGACTAGGCAAAGAAAGTTGGTTTCTCCCTAGTGACTGACCAATATATATATAAGTTTATCTCAGCATGGATACAAAAGTATCTTGTGGCATTCACCAACATGCTGCACCTATCACTCAGGCGCGATATCCGGTTTTCCATCAAGGAATGTGTGCTCCACTCAACATCTCGTTCCGTCCTTCTTCACGACTGTGAAATATTGCCATCAAAACTGGAAGATATGATTAGCCTAGCCGTCTTTGACCGTAGACGTCTACGTTCTATCTTCTTCGCTAAACAGCTGGATATATGGTGATTTATACTAAGGTTAGGCGTCGATTGTCAGATAAGGATGGAAAATTAATCCATCAGGTTTTGAAGTTGTATCGATTCAGATAACCAGGACACTGGTGTTACGAATACGAAACCATTGCCTCCGTCAGGCAATACTATCTGACGTAGAATTGCATTGGAAAATGGTTAGTGGTGATCAAGTTAGGACATGTCATCAATCCGTGAATTCTTCGATTGTCGGTTTGAGCTATAAATTGTTGTGTAGACTGTATGGCTGAGGTTCTGGAGACATTTTACCTTCAACTAGTTGGTGTGGGTCTCAAATCTACCTACTTCGATCATAAGCTTTTGCACATCAAATAAATCCTATTGTTGAGTGCATACAAAACTTATGGATAACACATAAGTTGCATTAGAATTCTTTAATCTTACGGTAGATATAGGTATTTCGTCGTCAGTATATAAACGTTATTTCTGATTCACAAATATGTTAAACATAGAGAAAACAGAGGTGATGAAGATTCCTGATCAAAACCAACAGCAACCACAACAACAGACAACAATCAGCCAGCATAAATGAGAGGAACCTGAAAACAACCTCGTTTACATACCTGGGAAGCATCATTTTAACTTCAGGCGGAACTGATGAGGATATCAAAGCGAGGATCGGGAAAGCAAGACAAGCTTTCATTATTCTCAAGTCTGTGTGGAGGTCAACAGCACTCAGCATGAAAAATAGGATCCGGATTTTCAACTCCATTGTGAAGTCACTGCTACTTACTATCAAGAGCACTTCGAACAAACTACAGACCTTCATCAACAGCTGTCTTCGCTCAATACTACTCAGGACAGTCGGCCGGCCAGAAAAGATCAGCAACAGGGATCTCTGGCAATGAGCGAACCAACCAGGAACCGATTGTGCAACAAATGAGCAAGAAGAGATGGAGATGGATTAGCCATACTCTGAGGAAACATTAAGTGACATCACTAGACAAGCCATTGATCGAGTGGAACCCGAATGGGAAGCGGCAAGTTGGTCGTCAGTGCGAGAGTGGGGTGACTTGGAGGAGGTCATATTAAGAGGAGATGAAAGCATGTGGGCAGACCTGGAGCCAGGTAAAAACTCTAGCAGAGGACCGAACGCAATTGAGACGTGCAGCTGAAGCCCTATGTTCCTATGGGAATTAAAGGAAACAGTAATAATAAATAATAATAATACTGGGGCTATAGCGCTTGTAACTTTTGCTTTAAGTAATCCGTTTATGCAGGTAGGGGCTTGTTTATACTATTTTCTATCTTTGTGGTGTAGGATTTACTTTATGATATTTGGAATATTCTGCTTCTTTGAATCACAAACTCTTCTATATGTTAATCACTATGATATACCTAGTAAACTAATTAATTAAGAATTACGTTCCTCGAAAATGTTCAACTTCTACGTCTATGTTAATCACAATTTATTTGAATACTTGCTGCATACCTTTTTGTTAAAGAATAAACTATTAGCAGATTGTGTCTAGAAGCCTCTATCTGTCACTAGTAAATAATTATATCTTGTGACTTTATCTAAGTATTAGTTATCTTTCGACTGTTATTTTTAATTTTTAACTTAATACGCAACTTTTTTTTCTCTCAGGTGGATTCCGTCAACGTTTAGAAAGTCAAGATATTGTATCAAACACAAAGACATCATCTCATGATAATCCCTCGGAATTAATTGATACTAGTTGTTCTTCCAGTCCATCATTGCCTTGCTTTTATTCCAGTCATATAACTAATCCAGTGTCAGTTGCGTTCACATCATCTACAAATATCTGCACTTCAAAATCCCATGGAGTCAATATAAACCAATCATGTCCAACTGGTGGCGGTGGTGGTGGTGGTGGTATTTCAAATAATGAAATACTTCATCCGTCTTCTTATGCTCAAAATGTTTTTGGTAATAATTTACCAAAACCTACAAATGTCACCTATGTAAATCATCCAATCTTTTATAATTCAGTATTACCGAATCAATTTATGCATCGTTCTGATTTAAATCAATTAGGTGGTAAAATTATAACTAATACTACAAGTAATTCAATCATTCCTGTAACTTCAACAATAGTTTTATCAACAGCCAGTGGAAATATACAACAACAACAACAACAATCATCTATGATAAGTGGTTCAAATAAAAATGGGACTCTGAATACAACTCAGCATATTGATCGTCGTCATACAGACAGTAATTATGATTATATTGTTCGACCTGGTGAAGTATGGATGGGACAGTATTTAATTAATAGTCTTATTGGTAAAGGATCTTTTGGTCAGGTAAATTTATTTATTGATTTATTGTTTGTTTTTTCAGTCTGAAATCTAGTTACCTGCCTGACCTAAATAGTTCTTTTGTCTTAACGGAGGATTTTAGACTTAAATCACCCATAAAATCTGTCAGCTGTAGGTCTATACGAAGTTGGAAATGATTGCGGTAATATTATTGTGAAAGCTTAATGGGTTGAATAATCGTTAGATTGAGTGAAATGATCTAAATAGGGCATATTTATGCCATAATTATTGAAAGTAACCGAATTGTTTATGTTTGTTTGTATAAAATCTTAGCACATAATACATGTAGCAGGATAGAAAGCATATGAGGTTTATAAGATTTGAAAGATCGTTATTGGATGACTTAATTCTTTAGACGTAAAGGAAAACATATCATAACATAACTTCGCGTTATGTTTTGGTATGTTTTCCTCCAAATACCGGCACACGGTCTTTTGGACTGCATCAGCATGGTCAACGTGACCTGAATATCCTTTATCCGTTAGCTTGATGTCACAGACTGATGAGAACGTCACTCCTAGACAAAATGATCGACAGGAAATGACAATCAATGTGAAATCGACCAGTAGAAAAGGCATAAATGGTCGGTGATTTGGAAGACATATCATTATTTATAGGCAAGTTCCCACACTACTAAGTACAGCTGAATTGAATTTTATGCATCCAACACTAAATTAATATCACATATACCAGAGACCAAATCAAACCTTTTATATTTCTCGCAAGTCGGTCACTAACATATTTAATATGAGTCCGATAGTAGCTAGACATACTTTACAGCAAACACATACCACACTGATTGTAACATACATATCGACTATATAGTCTTTTCTCATAGTAGACACTTCACTGGTCTTATTGTAAGGGAAGAGGAATAACGTCGTGGTCTCGTGATCAATCTAGAAAGTTTTCTATGCATGATTCCACCTCCGAAATTGAAAAAACCCATAGATACAGGATGACCGTAAAATTCACTTTGCTCTCTTTTATGCTTCTTAGCTCTTTTCAAACTTTCGTTCTTTTAAATATGTCCTCAGTATTTAACAGCGTAAAATTCATGACTAAAGTATTTCAACTGTTTTTCAAAGTGCTCACTAAATATACCTTCTTAGTAATACGTTTGATTACTAGAACTAGGTCTTAATCTGCACGATGTTTCAGTGAACATTCCACTCTATCCCACTCAGAGTCACCGAGGTCTTATCAGTCATTCAAATTGCTTTCTACTTATGTCACTTATCGTGTGTCGGTGGCATAGCGGTTAGGACGCTCGCCGACCATGCACATGGTCCGGGATTCGATCCCTGGCCGCCAACGCACTCCTTTACCTCGCTAAACCAGAAATAAAGCTGGTAAAGAGGAAAGGTTAGGCATGAGGCTAGCAACCCTATCCTGTAAAAATAAACACTGCTAGAGAAACTTCAAGCCTCCAGCTTGAAGCCCAATGTTCCACTTGGAACGTGAAGGAAAAATTATTTTTATTTATGTCACTTGTCCGATGACGTAATTAATCTACCATTGTATTGCTTATGGACTGCAGTTGATAGGATCACTTACCGCGACGACAAGGAAGGTCATATTTCTGTTTCCAATATAATAATAATAATAATATATTTTAATAGTGGAATCGTTATAGTTAGTGAACGGCTTTTCAATAACTCACTTCACCATGACCTCTTGCATTGAACATAATTATATTATCTATGCGAGACGGATTAGGATCGTTTTAGTTTGGGTTTTTAATGTATCATTAATGATAGGTTCTTAGTTTTATAATTGTTACATTTTTATTTTACGTTCTGTTCATTAACGAGATATCTAAGTGCAATTATTTGTAAAGTATTTATGTCAAAAATTCACTTGGCAACACTGAGATTTATTCTACAACATCCTGTAATTCAATTTTAAAAATGCTGAGATTTTAGTAAAACTAAAGAAATATTCATAATTGTTATGCTCTACACTATATGGGGTTTTGATTTCGATGGATATATCACTAGTTTGAATCCCCACCTCTCCCCCTATTAAAGCTCCACGATTAAAGAGAATTACCCAACTATGTTCCTCCAAATTCATTAAACCCGTTCGAAACTGATGAAAAGTACTCGTCGGGTGATTTGGACTGATTCCGTCCCATTGAGTTGAGCGCACTGGGACACACACCACTGGTGAGCTTGGTCCCAAACTAGCGTAACTGCTTTTCAGATGTTTAGATCACTAGTGCTTGACGTGAACGGTTTTCAACTACTCATACCAACCAATCAGTAAGCGGCATATACCGTCACACTACATATGCTTTTCAAGTGTTGGTTTGCAGGGTTTTGGTTGATTTCAAGTTACATCACGAACTAATATCAGTTGAAGAATCACTGAATATCACGGAGTACTGGTTAGGACTCTTTGGCAATACGAGGTGAGCGCATTGGCCATTCAGCCACTGGGCGGAATTCAATCACCACCCAATGTAGTCGGTGAGTATCTGTCCTCACATCAAACTTGATAAACTCCAATGGTGCCTTAAATCTTTCATTTCTCGTAATCTTCCTATTCAGAGTTAAGTAATGTCTATGCGAAGAAATCTTTGATTTTTGCACAGTAGTCTTTCGTATGCCTAAATTTTTGCCTAACTCATTCTTTTTGTTTTTGTAAAATTTTTTACCTTAGGTGATGAAAGCTCATGATTGTATTTCAAATGAAGATGTGGCTATTAAAATTATCAAGAATAAGCGTGCATTCACTAATCAAGCTCAGGTAGAAATTCGACTACTACGTGAAATGAACCATTATGTTGAAGAGGCTGTAGCCTCTGGAAAAGAACCACCACCAGGATCTAATTTGATTGGTACATTTTTGCCTTTTTTCTCTCTCTCTAAATATATTTCATTTTATTTGTCTCAATAATCAATCTAGCATTGATTTGACACTAACCGACCATCAACACTATTGTTGAATCAGTGCTCCCTTATGATCCAGAGAGTTGGCGAACGTATCATGAAAACATTCCAAATAGCTTATTGCAGACTTTCTTAAATACCTATATTCACCCGATACTGAAGGTCAGTTCGCTAACCAGAAAGCACAACCAAAAAAGAAATTTTGCAGACTAACTGATCAAGAACTTGTCGCTTAACACAAATATGCAGAAGGAAATGGAGGTGGACTGTGAACATACACTGAGGAGCCCGTCGAGTGAAACCACACACCCAGCCCTAGAGTGAGGAAAATGAGGTGGGCGTCCAAAGGTGAAAGCTTATAGGCAATTATGGAGTTATATAAAAGAGATGATGTGCCACTTCAAAGATCACAACTGTATTTGTATTTTTAGTGGACGATTTTGCAGAAAATATCAGTAAAATCTACAAACATTTTTTTCAATGTCACATTATGAATTATTAAGTATGTATTTCATTCTGCTGGTAAATACTACTGCATAGTTAAGATTCACTGCTCTTTAATTTAGTTTCTATAACGTGATTCAAGTTGGCCAGTGCCTCGATGCACCACTAGTTCCCCGTTGGTATATGTTGAGTAAACACTTATCAATGCTCATCAAACTTTATTTAAATGTGAAAGTAGTTTCTATTCTTTACTACTGAGGTGTCTGAGGTAATTTTAAACACATATTTTACTAGTTTTTGCCTGTAGGCAAATGTTGATGAATTCAGATTAAGAAATCATACCAAACTCTTTTTTTAAAGCCATGGAATTCAAGTGATATTGGAACTCTACAAATAGGAGAAGTTCACTGTAGATATCGTCATAAATCGACACTAGTTAGAGAGTCATTGAAAACCAAGGGACCACTGGACAGCTGCTGTGTTCTAGTTCGGGTCTCTTCAGTAGCTCTCCCTTATGACTCCATTATGAGTCAAACCTAGCACCTTATGAGACTACTGCGCCGATCATTCTGTCAATGGGTTGGAATTTGATAATGGGTGAAATCCAACTTATATAAACTCTCGAAATATATAGAGCCACGGTCTTCTAACCGTAGGATATCACGTTCGACCCTTGTTGCATTCATGGGTGTGCACTGATGAAGAGTTCTAAACTAGAACGAAACAGCTGTTCAGTGCCCCTTGTTTTTCAGTGATTCTTTAACTTTTTTTGGTTTGTGACGAAGTATACATTGGATTCAATCCAAAATCCCACAAAAACCATAATCGTAATAACAGATTTTGATGAAGCTGTTGGAGATGAATTCATTCTTCATGTTGTACGCATTTTATTTTTGAGGCTTTTCTTTACCTGATGACGTAGTATTAATCCTGTGTATATTTTAAGCTGACCATAGGTGGTGTCCGCGTTCTATATTGCCTGCCAAGTGGTCTACTATGGTAAGCAAATATTATGGTGTTAGGCGTAGAGCATTAGTTAAGGACGGAAATCGAGTCGGTGAGGTTGTAAAGCTGTTCATTGATCGAGATGGCTGGGTCACATGTTATGCATACCAAGCCGTTGCCTTTCTCATTTGGGATGTTGCCAATGTTATCTAACATTGAATCAGATTGGAAAAGAGTTTGGAGTGATCAAATGCGTCCATAAAGTCTTTGATTCTGTTGATTTCAGTTGGCTATAGATTTGTAGACTTTGTGACTGGAGTCCTAAAAGCGCTAAGTAAGACTCAATAGTTTAGAGACTGTTAGTGTGATATAGCTTAAAATCGTTTCCAATGGCTCAGGTGCATTCACTTTTTATGAACCCTTAGAATCATGAAATTTTCAATATTCTGAGTTTACTAACTCTTTCTCCTGAATATATATCTGTTCATTAGTGTTCCGCTACCTTTTTTTTACACTTTGCGGGGTGTGCCAATTCGAACTGCTACAATTTTGTGCAAATTTCTACCACACAAAATTTCAGTCAGTCGATCAGTAGCTAAAGAGCTAAAGCTTCGAAATAAAATGTGCAATATTTCATACCAATGTCCAATTGACAATAAAACTACCCGTATCAGTATTTTTTTATTTCTCAAAAGAGCTTATTACCGGAAATAATAATAATAACAATAACAATAATGGAGATTTTTATATATATCTCTATGGTCAATACACCTCAATGGATCTGTAGGTTTAATCAATAAAAGTATGGATTATTTCTAGGTTACTTAAGGTAAGGTAACAAAATTTCTTAAATAACAAGTAACTACTACCACTAGCTGGAACATTATTAATATATATATTTTTTCTTCGCTTGTATTTTCTTTTTTCTTTTTGTTTCACTTCACTCCTACTTTCTTCATTTTATATTTATGCTTTTCTTTTTAAAGATTTGTAGATTAACTAATGTCTTTGATGAAATGCATTCACCTCTTTTTAAGACTTATGTTGTGTAACCAACTAACTGTGTGTACTTTTTTCTTCATTCTATGCTGATCTTTCTTTTTTCATTCTTTTGTCCGATATACTGCGAAGACTTGTATGATCTTATTTTATTTTGATGTTGATTTATGTTTTTAGCCAGTACAATAAGTAGTGTTAGCTTGCGTGTTACTTAACTTCAGACTACATTCCCCTCGAAATCAACCTGATAATTAGTTAAATCCTGATTATACTATATATTATATGCTATTACTATAGGTGTTTGGTGGTAAGCTGATATCAACTTAGAGAAAAAGTGTGAGACCAGAGGGTACTGGACTGCTGTTTCGTCCAGCGATACGCACCAGTCTGAATTCGGATCCCAGGATCTTCTAATTATAGGGCGAACTTGTGGAACACCCAGACACTGGGACCCGATTCAATGGCCAATGAATTCCAACTTCTGCCAATTCGCGATATGTATAGCGCAACCGCCAGTCAGTGTCATTGGCGCGAGTAACCGTCCTCTTACCTAACTTGGTTAGGTCCTGTTGGTCATGACTTTCTAACTAGAAATCCAGGTAACCTACTGTGTATAACCAGTCGCTAGTAAACATCCGATTAGTTTTCAAGCGCGTGCTGTCAAGCTACTCCCAGATTTTCCAATGGTTCTCTAAATGATGATCAAAACTGTAACCAGTCAAATCCCTGAAAACCAAAACACTTGAACATTATTATTCCGAGTGGAACATAGGGCTTGAACAGCTAAACATTTCTATTTCACTGGATCCCCTGCAGTCCCTGTTAGCTGGCTCTACGAATGATAATAAGCCTTCATCTCCTTCATATTACTATCAGACATATCCTCAAGTCATCGTTTCCCATTCGGTCTGGACTCGAGAGGTTCGCCTAGCGCGCGATGTCACTCAAAGGTCTCCTCAGAGTGTGTCCAATCCATCTCCATTTCTTTCTGCATATTTGCTAGGCTGTTATTTGGTTTGTTTCACTGCTGAGTTTCTTGTTTCTAATCCTTTCTGGCTATGTGATCTTCAACATGAGTTTTTAATTTTGCTTGTCATAACTGAAAATACCTATTGTAAACTAGGTAAATAAAAGGCGATCCGTGGAGAGTTACTATTTTTTCAGGGGTATTACTGACGACCTAATGTGAACTTTTAAGCTACCAAATAGCTGAAGCCTAAGTTTACTTTGCTTGAACTATCTCATCTTGACTTTTAACCAACAGATTCCCTGTTGAAATCCCATTTTACATACTTATCGACATGAAAATCCGTTTATTCCCATCACAAACCTAAAAGTCTAGACGACGGAAATATCTGTAGTGTATAACTGAGTTGCACTATTCACTTACTGAATTCTCTACAGTCTTAAATACGAGCGACCACTGACTTTCACTACACAACAAACTCCATTATTCTAATCCTTGTTAGAGCCTAACAGTTTGTATTACCGTCTTATAGATAAATCATATATCTTAAAGAAGTTGCAGTATCTAGGCGATTACATGGATTTTGTTATCGATATTAGTTTATAGCAGCAGCAGAACACAGAATTATTTGACAGCAGAATATTTATTTGATAAATAGTGAACAGTGGTGGCAAAATACAGATTTCCTACCTTGAAATTACCATTTGCTGCATACATTCTTTGTATTCTGCTTCTTTTGTCGTATTCCTTTCATGCTTTTTGTCTGTTGTCTCACATGAATCTTTCATTCCTCCTCATCACAACTTAATCTGTCTCTTCGCTGTTCAAGTTTCTTATAGGAGGTATCGCACACCACAGACTGCATGTTAATGCTTATCAGCAGCACACACCGAAATTTGACTACAAAATATGTCTCAAATTTCATTAGCATCCATCGTTTCGACTCATTTATAAGGAAAGCCGTGGAATTCTAAAATATAATCTCATCGAATATAAGATGGCTCAATTTTGAGACAAAACAGCCACAGTTATACTTGATTTTATTATTTTATTATTAAAAAGAAATTTTATACATTATGGACACCAGGAGATGCACCACACAAAGTCTTATAGTTTGTGCGAGGGCTGGGATACATCCATGGTACTCATACCAAAGCAGGTTGTCGTCGTAAAGAGGCATACCTCCCAGGCCTTTGACTTGAAGTCGGACCCATAAAACAGCAGAGCTGCGTCCCCGTGATTGCCAGTAAACAGGACAGGCTCATACGCCGTCTGACCCGTTCGGATTCAGGAGCCCGTGTACTACACGATAGGTTTTTGAATCAAGGTTTTCCAACTCCTCCAGATAGATCAGTATGTCCACCAATCCGGTTGTTAGAGCCAGACTTTCTCATTCATCCGTTAGAGAGCCACTGAAAACCAGGGAGTGCTGGGCAGCTGTTTCGTCTAAGTTTGGCACTCATCGGCAGTACGCACCCACTGGGTTTCGTACCCAAGACCTTCCGTATATAAGGCAAGCTCGTAGACGATCCAGCCATTGGGACCCGATGCAATGACCAACCCATGAATTTTAACTTCTACTAATCCGTTATTTTAGCGCAGCCACCAATCCATGTTATCGGTGAGAACTCCATCCTCACTCTTGACTGGATGGACCCCACTCACTGGTCAAGACTTCTCACTAGAACTCCAGGAAACTTTGTCCTGTAGCCAGTCACTAGTGAGCTTCAGATGATTATTATTATTATTATTATTTGAATAATAATGAATAGATCCGCGCAATTAAAAAGAATTTTAATAGACATACAAACGTAAGTGTTGATGATAATATTTACACCTGAATAAATTAGAGTAGGTAATTTATTGAATTTTAATTCTTCAAAAATTATATGTAAATAAAAGTGCAACAGAAAGATAACATGATGACCGAATAGAAGTATAAATATGCATATTGGAAGTAGGCTAAACAGGTTAATAAATAGCTTATAATTGGCCTTCTATACAGAATTCATTAATCTGATTGTAGATGAAAAACTAAATCGAAAGGAAATGTTTTTGAATACTGTTATTATTCGTTCAATATCATAAACAAGCTTAATACAGAAAAAATATGTATAAACTTCCTTTTATCTTATGTCAGATGTCGCACACACACACACACACACTGTTGGTCAAAAATGTAAACCCCACTATTTCGCCTTTTATGGGTGTTTATTTTTCCCTAAAAGACCAATACTAGTAGCTGTACGACTAAATGTATCCTAGTAAGTAGGAGAATTTCCTTCACTAAAAATCTAAAGTTGATAAACACATTGCCAAGTGTTCCGTGTTTTAGTCAATGAGATACCGCTGATTTCAAAAAGTTTCCTTCGAAAGTAGAATCTGTCGGTCCTAGTGTCTGAATAAATGATAAACACAGGCTCTTTTCGTAACCAGTAGGTCTTGGTTCTGATCCCCTTTGGGATCATGGGTTGGTGATTGAAGAGTAGGAATGTTCGCCAGCCACGTACGTGGTCCAGGTTCCAGTATTGATCAGCACACTTAAACCTTGTCTAGCCGTCAGTAAAGTCGAAGAAGAGGGAATGTTGGGTGGTGAGGCTAGCAGCCTCACTCTATGAGGAACACACGTGCCTTTGAAATTTCAGAGATTGAAGCTTTATATTTCCATTCAGCCTACAAAGGAATGAAAGGTGAAGAATTCATGGGAATAATTTCCATTCAAGCAGTGGTGAAAAAGCAAACCAAAGTAGTCTAACAAAGTGATTTTGCGTTCACTACTGCTGCAACCTTTGAAAAAATACGGTAGAAAATCATTAAGTTCTTTGACTACCGAAGCGTCCTTACTACTTTTAAATTTATGAATAATCTACATCTAACAAGCATTAATGAACAAATATAATTGAACTACTTGTTTTGTTTTATCATTAATGCTTCTTTTCTTCGTCATTCATTTCGCTCCTAGTGGAATATACGGCGTACGGTTTTAGGTTCCCACGTTGCAGTAGCGTTTGTGTCTTTTTTTACGGTATGGAATTACTAGCTTTACATGCTCAGTCTTTCTTGTTTTTAGGATTTACTATCGGCTAGGCAATGTTTATGAGGGTGGGGACGAGTAGAGTCGAACCCGGGCCGCATGCGTGGTAGACTGAACCACCGATGCTCATCACAAATGTTTGAATGGGAACTATTTATGAAATAAAATGCATCAAGCAACCCCTCTAAAGTGAAGAAAGTCAATGGATTTCTGCTTATTTCTATCAAGCCTGCCTGTAGTGAAAGCTGACAGCGAAATTCTCACTACTGTATGATTGTTGTAAACTTGGACGCTGTGGAATTATATGATTCCATATTACACTGAAACAGTATTATTAACTGGATGACGAGGTTTCTAACACTGTTTATTGTTCATAATCATATCAGTTGTAACTACACAACTTTGAGACTTCCGTTTTATACTCCTCTTTATTCCTTCCCATTCATTGTAGTGGTGATAGATATCCTGGTGGACAGGTGGTGAATCATTTCCATTGCACCTGTTTTCAGTTGATTTGATAATTAAACCTTCAATCGTCGATCTCACCCTCCACCCGGTTATATTAGATTCTAGAATTATCGTCTTATCGCATCCTTATTATGTGGTTGTGTGTAATTGCATGTAGTGCCATTGCTGAGCTATTTTATAGACTTTTTATCACATTAGGGTCAACTTATGTAGACTTTGCTGGGTTGTTGTGCTCCACTGGTCTGATTAACCCCGTCCTACTACAATTTTAACGCGTGTATCTGACCTGACAATCATTGCAGGACACAAAATAAACTAAATTATACTTTATGGGCTGCACAGGGATCGTTTAATGGCGATGATTCGTTTCCAAATAAGTTTGCAGATATGGATGCCACTTTTATCCCTGCTTTTGTTACAAATTCTAATGTAGGTTTCAGAGGTTTCTTCTTTGTCTGTCTGGCTGTCTGTTTTTGACATAGAACCTTGCACATAGGTGCCACAGTTCAAGTCGCCACACCATGTAGAACACAAAGCAAGAGAAGAAAGTAGAAGAAACGCAAAATAGAGACAGTAAACAGAGGTGTGAGGTAAAGGAATAGTAGTACCGAAGAACAAAACAGTTTCATTGGGAATCATAAGTCACAAGGAGTGGATGCATCTGCACCAGCCATTGAGCCATATCACCAATTGTTTCCAACCATTGGTTTTTCCCGTCCCGAGGACCCCAACCAGTCAGGAATTCCTCACCTTCCTACGTGGCTTAGACTAACTGTTGTGGGTTTCGTTGACTGGTGCCATGTTTTGGTTTGACTGCCACTAGCTCTTTTCCAGCCTGGCCCTATGCCAGTCAGCTAACATTTCCCGTCGAGGAAGGCGATGACTAGACATACGTAACACATGTCCTAACCATCTCAGTCGATGTAGCTTCGCAGCCTTGTCAATTGATTTCCCCTGCTTACCTAGAACTCGACGCCTAACCTCAATATTGATCACCTTATTGTACCATTTCACACGAGAGATCGAACGCAGGCATCTATGATCAAAGACAGCTAATCTTTTCATGTCTTCCACTCTCAATGGCCACGGGTATCTTCTTCGGAACACCAAGAGTTGTACTTCCATGTAAGGAAGAAACCTTACATGGAAGTACAACTCTTGGTGTTACGAATTCCTTGCTGTGGATGCTGTGATATATAAAATGAACAAATTAACACGTAAATACGTACTTTATACAGTTTTGCTGAGAGACATTTTTATATTGATAATTTCTTTTCCTCATCATTATTGTGATACATTCATCGATATCTTGTTTTAATCCCCCTTCTTTTGTTTTCTTTTTTGTTCCAGTTCGCTTGCTCACTCATTTCACCTTCAGAGGACATTTATGCTTAGTATTTGAATTACTCTCCTATAATTTATATGATCTTTTAAGAAATACAAATTTTCATGGTGTTTCATTGGGTTTAACAAGAAAATTTGCCCAACAATTATGCTGTGCATTAGATTTTTTATCTAGACCAGAATTACAAATTATTCATTGTGATTTAAAACCTGAGAATATTCTACTTGTGAATCCAAAACGTTCCACTATAAAACTAGTCGACTTTGGTAGTTCATGTCATATGAATGAAAAAATCTATCAGTATATACAATCACGTTATTATCGTTCACCTGATGTTCTACTTGGTTTAGACTATACAATGAGTATTGATATGTGGTCATTAGGATGTATTTTAGTTGAATTACACACTGGTGAACCTCTGTTTGCTGGACAAAATGAAGTAAGCTCTTGGTGTATTTGATGATTTCTCTCTGTTTGTTTAAAATATTATTATTATTAATATGACTGTTTTATAAAAACGATTATCATATATCCAATTCTTTCAGTGTCCATGCCTTTAATTCCAAAGAGTAATTTTGAGACAGTGGGAAATTCTGAGCACATATTACAGTATTTCATTGAATGTTCTCTCCATACTATGCGGTAAGAGGGGTAAATAATTATCGAACAATTTAATAGTGACAACAGCGATTCAATGGTTGAATGCTCGCCAATCACAACTGTCATCCAGCTTCAATTCCTGACCGAGGCACTCCTAAATCCTGCCTATCCGATAGTTAGTTAAATTCGACTAAAGATTGAAGGTTGGGTGTGAGGATAGCAACCCCCACACCCCCGTGGAAAATATCTTCATCGTTGCTGAGGCTTCAAAGTTGGAATTCCTTTTTTCCCCTAAAAACGCATAGGAATGAAAAAAAGTGAAAGTGGAGCGGGGTGAGGGACGTTTAATCTACTATTAGTAAATCCATACCTAACACTTCTCATCACATAAAGTACATGCCAAATAAGGTATTGTCGGCTTTTTATACGTTATTCAGTCGTGCAAGTGTATACTGCTTCTTATGATTGCTTCTGGTTCGACCTGAGAAGATGCAGTGGAGGATAATTGTGAATAAAGGTGGTTCTTCAGAGTCTGACAAAATGACTTTTTCCAGTTTCTTATATGAGTTTAACTGTCGATCAAAAAAGATATCAACGTGTTAGATTAAAGGAAAATCACTTACCCTATCAACAGCTTTCAAGCGTCCTTCTCAATGCTAGAAAGTCTTTTCTAAGTAGTCCAGGAAAGATTAAGTGAGAAGCAATTAAAAAGAATAAGCAGAATACAAAAGTTATCACACTGTGAGAGTAGATGTTGAATGATACCAGAGTTTCACCACTTCCCTATGTGTGAAGGTTAAAGGATGCGAAACAACAAGGAAGATCAGATCCAAGATGTTTAACATTTGACTTATTCTCTACTTCACTTCCCCTCTTGTTACGAGAATTATGGGAACCAACCAGATGACTTAAGTCCTATTTATGTCTGTGAAAGTGAAATTAACCGTCTTACATGTGAAAAGCACTTCACACTTAAAGTCATTTAACATGAACCACTGGATAATTTCAGACTTTCCCCTCTGGAATTCATACTTCGAATGCTCACTTTTGATCCAACTGGAACTGTCAATAAGGCTGAAGCATTATTGAATAGACCACATTATAACGAATGTATTTATGATGAATGTTTTGTGATTTTGATAACATTTGAGCAGAATTACTACTTGTGCTCACACCAATCGCTAGAACTATGCTACTTATACCTTTACAGACGGTGATCCATTGGTAGTAAATCTTTCTGAAGGAATTTTGGTTTTACCAGCAAATCTTCAACGGATTGCGTTATGCACCCCTAGTTTGCTATTTCCTTGTCTATTTCCTTGAGATAAACATAATGTCGCAGTTATCAATCGTCCACAGCACGTTTTGTATTTCCCACACTTAGTAAGGGCTAAACACTCATTGGTCGCCAATACCCCGAACTTGTGAATTTATTGTTTGTCATTGTCATTTCAGCTTCAGTGCAAACTGTTTTTGCCGGTTTTTGTTTGAGATAGAAAAAGCTCTCTTATCAACGTGTTCTCCTTCTGTCTTATTCTCACATGTAGTTGGCATTGTTGTTGTGGTCGTACTTCACGTTGCGCTTAGCGACGGCAGTCGCATTAGGTCCCTACAGCTCACAGTCTCCTAGGTCGTATCATCGTTCATATCAAATTGATCATGGTAATAAATTCTAACCTTCCATCTACATACTTAAAAAGGGCATAAATAAGGATTAGTGCTAAAAATATGTGCTGGTAATTCTCTACTATATCCTATTGGTTTATTTTGTATCAAACTGTTCATTTTAAAAGTTAAAGTTCATGTTATTTGATGGTTGGGGAGTCTCAGTAGAATTCAGAATGCGCATTTTGTCTTATTTAGAACTTGTCGAATGCATGTACCTTTAGTTCCCATCGTTGATCGGTTCCCACTGAGACTTGAATCCTACACACATCGTCTCAACGGTACACATCCATATGATGAATCCAAACCAGGAGGAAATGCGCATCCTGGATTCCACTTTATGTCACCATCCATCAAACGACGACATGTTAATCCTTAGACATTGTTGAATCATCTGTACTAGGAGCCGATATAGATCAACAGAAATCGAACATTTCGGTTCAAAATATACAATAATTGGAAATCACGAAATTAACCTTAAAATATACTAAATTTGAAAAATGTTAATACAAACGTTAAAATATGCAAAACAAAGTAAAAACTTTTCTCCTCTTAAATTTAAATCAGGTTGGACAAATGATGAAAATTATAGAAGTTCTTGGCATGCCGCCTCGTTTGCTACTGGATAAAAGTCGACGTTGGCATGTATTTTTTGAACGAACAGCCGATCGAACTTATGTACCTAAAGTGAGTGATACATAATTCCGTTTTCATTATTCGGTTTTTCGTAACTGTTATGTATGTGTATCTTCCGTTTGAAGTCTTTCATTTGATGTTTATGGATATCATTGCTTTACTTGAATTAATTGTGTTTTATGAACCCAGTTGTCGTCACTGTATATAGATACATCTATTCCGTGTACCGGTAGCTCAGCGGTAGAATGTTTATCAACCATCAACATGGCCCGGGGTTTGATTCCCGGTCGATGTACTCCTAAACCTCACATAACTGGTAGTAAGCCTAGTAAAGAGGAAACTATGAGCGTGAAGCCAGCAAACCCCTATGTCTTAAAAAGAAAACCAATACTACTCTGAAACTTCAAAGCTCAAGCTTGAAGCCCTGTGTTGCTCTTGGATTGCCAAAGAATAAAATATAAAGGGTATCTACTCCATTGTTACTATGTATGAGATTATGCAAGGATTCGGAATTTCTCGATTCTCTCTCTATATCTACTGCTAAATCATAAATATTTAGGTCTTTGTGAATTCCATCGGTTGATGTAATAGTACCTTAATAGGCTAAAGTGATTTAGAGACTTACATTTTACCAAGGGAATAGTCTCGTCGATTTAGAGTATAAAGATGATATGGTCCCTCTAGGTAAAAAGCTGACAAAAATCAGAGTCTTCTTAACGTCTTGAGCAGAAATCTCGGTGTGTTTTGTCATGAGATTCTTATATGTGTTAGATGTGGGATGATACTGCAGGAATGATCTAGCTCCAACTCCTAGTTTGGAAATATGTGGTGAGAACTTTCATCTGCGCTGATGAACTGATTGCTGATGAAATCTTTACATGGATACAAAAGGCTGATGTTGTGTAGAGATAACATCCAAATCTCGACTGAAGGTTGTGTGTAATGCCTAGCAGTTCCCCCAGTCTTCTTTATGGCCTTATGGCCTGGTCACTGAAAGTCAGAGATATAAAGTAACTGTCTGCGTATTAGGTGGCAAAATATGCTGATTGATAGCGATGGTAGCTGACATACGGAATACGTTTTGAAGGAGTTCGGGAGTGATCGACGGGAAATGTGGAGTTAGTCCACGAAGTTCTTGACTGTTCGTCTGATTCACGTAGGTAGATGTAAACTACGGGGCTGGGGGCCTCGAGATGTTAAGATCTGGTGGGTGGAGACTGTTGGCGATATGATTTAAAATCGTTCCTAAAGGTGCAGATATTTTGAACCTTTGTGATCTCTTTGATTCAATCTGTCCTCATTATTACTTCTTCCGCATATTTCGATTTAAATGATTTTCGTAACATTTTTTCCCTCTCTCTCTCTATGTGGGCTTTATGAAGTGCAAGTTGAACTGCTACGCTCTAGAGCAACGTCTTACGTAAAAATTCAGTTTAGTAAAGTCCGATCTGTAGATAAATTCTGTCACAGTTGGTAACCATACTAATTTGTGCATTGAGAATGTACGCATAGTATAGTTGCTGAAACACATGTCTCTCATTGTTTCCTTGTTCTTTTTTCATCTTATCTGTTCATCTATGAATTGAATGGTTCCATTGTACAATGATCATCCTTTAACGTAGCTTTTCGTCGTTATTTCATCAGCAATGATAGAACTACTTATAAGTAGGCAAAGATGTATATATAAAAATTATATATTATATATGATGTTACCATTAAAACATTTCTGAATTCAATCGGTATTTTATATCCTTTTCATCTATTTTAGGTTTCATGTCAACAACCTGGAAGTCGTCGATTGTCTGAAATTTTAGGTGTTAATTCCGGTGGACCACGAGGGAGGCGTTTACATGAAGCTGGTCATACTCCAATGGATTATAGTATTTTTTTGGAATTTGTACTTCGAATGCTCACGTTTGATCCAGCTCGACGTATAAGTCCAGCTGAAGCATTAACGCATCGCTTTTTTCGACGTCCAAATACGAATAATAATACAGGTGGAGGGGGTGGTGGTAATTCTTCAGCTCAATGTGAATCGAATTCAAATGCTCCAGGTTCGTTTGGTAAAAACATTTTCTGCGTTTTATACATTTCGATCTTTTTTTAGGTGTTTCTTTGAACTGCGGGTTATTTATCTGTGGCACATCAGTTTAAATAGCCCGATACACAACCGATGGGTCTCGGGTTCGAGCCCTGTCTGTCTGTTTTCGACATGGAACTTTTCACATATGTGCCACAGTTCAAGTCGCCACACCATGTAGAACACAAAGCAAGAGAAGAAAGTAGAAGAAATGCAAAATAGAGACAGTAAACAGAGGTGTGAGGTAAAGGAATAGTAGTACCGAAGAACAAAACAGTTTCATTGGGAATCATAAGTCACAAGGAGTGGATGCATCTGCACCAGCCATTGAGCCATATCACCAATTGTTTCCAACCATTGGTTTTTCCCGTCCCGAGGACCCCAACCAGTCAGGAATTCCTCACCTTCCTACGTGGCTTAGACTAACTGTTGTGGGTTTCGTTGACTGGTGCCATGTTTTGGTTTGACTGCCACTAGCTCTTTTCCAGCCTGGCCCTATGCCAGTCAGCTAACATTTCCCGTCGAGGAAGGCGATGACTAGACATACGTAACACATGTCCTAACCATCTCAGTCGATGTAGCTTCGCAGCCTTGTCAATTGATTTCCCCTGCTTACCTAGAACTCGACGCCTAACCTCAATGTTGCTCACCTTGTTATAGCACTTCACGCGGGATATCGAACGCAGGCATCTATGGCCAAAGACAGCTAATTTTGATCGAATCCTACTCCAACTACTTCTGCTTGGGTAACTAGATAGTGTCACCAGCCCTCATACAGTAAGTCTCAGGCTCATAGTCTTGCACGTGAAAATTCTGTTCCAGATAACTGAGTTCAAAGCAAACAAAAAACCTAAACTGAGGATTCTTTAGTGGAGCTTAGTTGATTCATACAGTGATTAGTAGAACAATGGATGGCGTTTTTTAGTTTTTGTTATTACAGCTGTGAAAGGGATCAGGTTTTTTCCAATTCGAAAACTGAACAGGACATGTTACAGATATTGAGCCACCACCTTCGTTGTGCAATGTTATGTTAGCTAACATAGGAGTAGGCATCAATTCATGAAGTGTCTGAATGTTGGTTTGAGTTGGGGGGGTTGTGGTTCTCTAGGTACTTCGGATCCATTGGCTTGAGAATGTTGGAGATGTGGTACAAAATCGTTCTCAATGGCCCAGATGCATTGAATTTGTTTTAGTCTCTTAGATCCGTTAAGTAGCCATATTTTCCTTCATAATTATTTCTCTGCAACATATAATATCGTAGAGTTCGTATTCCCACGAAAAGAAAGTGATGTCTCGGGTAATCTAGGTGGATCTCAGGCCTTGGTGAGGATGTACCGATGAAATTCTCACCCTTGGTGTAAATAACTTAGCAGCATAAAATGCTTAATGGCACCCAATAGTTGTCATAATTCGTGACCTATTAGGCGGCATTTGATTCAGTCAACACGTGTTGGTGGTGGCAATACTCATCCTTAGTGGAATAGTGATGGAGTGTTGTATTATGCCTACCAAAACACTATTCGAACTCATGCATCTATATAATAAGAGGTTATAGAGAGCTGTTGTCCTAATTGATGACAACCAGCATTTCCTGTCAGAAATGAGTTGGACATGTGGTCCTCTGCTGTCAAACGCAAAATAAAACCCACAGAACTGGTCTGCACTTGTAACGGTAGAAGATAAGAAAAGTTGTAACAGACTTTTTTGTCACGGAAAAACGCATCATATCTATAGATTTCTAACCCCATTAAAAGCCGGTTAGGTCAGAGTAGAACAAACTGTTCTGATTGGTTGGTGATTGGCCCAAGGTTAAACAATGAGACAAAAAGTTGTTCAATGAGATTATTTCAAGACTACAACGTAAAACAAGTCCTGATTTGAAGAATAAACACTTCTACCCCTAGCAGCCATTGACTTAAAATGTTGATTTCAATTTTGGTTACTTCCTTTCAACCTGTATCTATATAACACACGTCACTCGCTGGCTCCAGTCTAACGGTGGGGGGGCGGGGGGTGAAATGATCACATTATAATAGCTACCACTTCTCTTAGTTGATAAGTTATTTGAATCTTAGTAAACTGTTCGTGGACAAAATCTCAGCGTGGATGAAGCTCGTTCAGAATTTTTTTGATTCACATCATCTTTTGTGCAGACGTGATGTTAGTCTACCAATGAAAGGGTATATGTGTGTTTGTGCAACAGTTTGTTGGACTCTAGTTTCTGACTGTTTAACACATACGTCAAAAGTAGAAGATATGAAAACTTGAGGTGCTTTTGACCATATATACTTTCATTTGACTGTCTGTGTTATGTAAAGTAACATGAAAAACAATAATTGGACTAGGTTTATCGTTAAGTGATGAAGAGATTGTCGATCAATGAGATCATGAAACCTCTCATCTCGTTCCTTATTCTATGTGCCTGTGTGTAGATCTTCAAAGTGATTTCAGAGCTCTCTCAATCCAATTCTAGCTGGCTTTGACATCCCAGCCAGGGCCGTGTGTATTTGAGACGATGTTGTCCAGGTCTCGTAAATGAAAGATACGACTTCATATTTCTCCCTGTGATAGTGATTTGTATTTTTCTTTCATCTTCATAATAATTCCACCTCTAGTAAAATTTTAATGCCAGAAAGTGTTAGTATTTCACTAAGTTTTATACTAGACTACCGCTCATGTCAATTTTTAAGAAAAAGTATAATTCCTTCTCTCTCATTTTCTCTTTCATATTTCAGTTTTAGTCTGTCCACCTCCAAATCGATGGGCTAATTTTATTGATAATCCAGCTACTAATCTTATGCATACTCATTTAAATAATTTAAGAACGGCACCTGGACACCCTGGAGTAGTTGGATTAGTCAGCCATCATCCAACTGAAGCTGTAGAACTTATGCGAATTCAAAATCAACAACCATTGAGAACTGCTGTCGCTGCTGGATCTGTTATTGTATCACAGGCTCGTTCAATTCCAATTATATCAAATGATGGTGGTGGTATATTAACACAGATTAGTGAACCACTTTCTCCACTTATTTATGGATCACACGGATCATTCCATGTTCATCATTCTAATCAAAATTCAGGTCCTCTTCCACTTCATTTATCACGTATTCATCCTACTCATGTTATACAGGGTCTTCATCCACTTTCAATGATTAATCAACAATCGCATGCTGTATCAAATACAGGCGTATCAAGTACATTTACTGATACAAGTCAATTACATCATCCTTATTATATTGAATCTGGTGTGTATAGTAATAATACTACTACTAATAATAATTATCCTCAACGGCCCATTCAGTTAGCCTGGATTGGAGGCAGTGGTGGCGGTGGTTTGGGAGAACATCATCATCATCATCATTCCACTAGTTCCACTGCATGTCTTGCATCTCCTGATTTATTGAATGTAGCTTCTGCTGCTTCTCCTGGAGTCTGGCGTTGAAAATATATATATACATATATATTCGAGGGAAAAGTAATCACAGATTTGCTCATGTATTTATAATTTCTCCTCTTCTCTCCTTCTCTCACTCAAATAGCCGTTCTGTGATGCAAACTCATGTTCATATACTAATCTAATCCTTTATTTATTATTTGTAATTTGTAATCATATTCATGTATGTGTAGTTATAATAATATTTAGGCCTACACTACTACTACTACTACTTTTATTATTATTATTATTTATCTTGGCACTTTTACTTTACTACATTTCTCTTACCGGTTTTTTTCTTTTAGTGTACAGTCATTATTGTTCTTCTTGTTGTGTGTTCTCTGTTCGGGCTGTTTCTTACAAAATGATCCATATAATACGTGTATTTGAACTCTTTCTCTCTCTGTTCTCACTCATTTCTTCTCGAACTACACACTTGCACACACAGACTTCCACTTCCTGACTGACTACCCCTCTCTCTCTCTCTCTCTTTATCTCCTTAGCTGTGATCTTACTGTATAACGCGCACACACATCGAAACAAACTATGCAATTTTATTTACTTGAAATCTAATCTAGGCAACAAAATATGTTTATCTCTTCTACTCGCGCGCAATACATACATATATACGAACATAATATATAACTATATTTCGATAGTGTAACAGTATATGCTCTATGATATCCCACTTTTTTGATTTCATAAGGTGGGAAGGAGAAAGGAAAACCCCGTCCTTCTGCTTTATTTATAACACACTACTAAAAAAAAATCGTGGTTTTTGAAAATCCCTTACTTCTGTGTTTGTGAATGTGTGTGTGTGTGTGTGTGTGTACGGTTGGGCGGGTGGATGATATGCTCAAAATTATTCTTTGTGATGAAAATATTGAGTAATTTATCTATCTATCCATCCATCTGTTTATCTAATTCACTTTTTTATACTCCCTTTCCTCTACTATCTAATATTATAGTTGGGGTGGGGTGGGGGTACGCATCTTGTATGCAAAGGTTTTGTGGTGTAGAGTAGTAGCCTGACTGATGATGCATACACTAGAACAATCTTTAGGGGGTAAGTGTTTGAAATTCCTATATTCGCCTATTGTTATATAATAATTATGTGTATGTATTAGTGTTACGTTCACTGCTTCACTTCCAACGTTGGTTGATTACCTGATTCCCTTCTCTTTTTTTACTGTCTTCTTATGTTTCTTTTTTTTGATTTGTTTTCACAAATCCTGTTCTTCTCAGTACACAAGTCACACACGTACAGTTGTGCATTCACATTCCTGTTTTGATGATAAGTGTTAAGGTGTGTTTCGTTAGTTAAAAAAAGATGAAATATGATAGCTCCTCAATTAGATCTCTCGCTCACACATACCCACACATGCAACAACAACTTCGTGATATGTTTTATTCACTTCCAGTGCTCTGTCATTTTTGCCACCCCCCTCCACCTCCCCTAATCCTATGCTTGCTCTTTTATTACCCCTCCCCTCCCCTTCCAACTTGTGTATGTATTTTCTTTTGGAATCTGCCTTCCTTTCTCCTTGAATAATTACCTGTCTATATATATATATATATATATATATATTTTCACCAAGTGAAGAGAAAATTATTCAGGAGTGTACCAACTAATTGATTTTCTGCATGATAAAACAAGAAATGCTTTTATTTGTGGTGATTTTTTTTAAAGGAAAACATATTATTACTATTATTATTAAGTAGTATTGTTTCTTTCTCCAATTAATCGTATGTATTCCATGTGAAATATCACTTGGTAAGGTGATGTTATATAATGTTATATGAGTAATACTAAGGTTATATATGTACAATATTTAGTAAGGAGGGGAAGTTAAACAATAAAGTTGTGATACTGCTGCGTCGATTGAGATATCTAGGAAAAGTATTACGCATGAAAGACCATTTTCCGCCACGTCAAGCAATGCTATGCGACATAAAATTTGATGAGGAGACAGTTTTATTATTATTACCAATATTCTTTTGGGTTCAGCAGTACACCTCCACTTCACTCTGTTATTTTCAGCTAGCTCCACGACTAACCGTAAGCTTTCATGTCCTCCATGTCACACTTGGATGACCAACTCGCTGTTTCGCATTCAGGTTCCACTATCGGGTCTAACTGTAGCACTACGTTGCTCAACGGTCTTAGCGCGTGTATCCAATCCTTTCCAGTCATACCTGTTAGGAGAAAATTTCTTGGTGTGTTCCTTCATAGAGTTTCTTGTTATTATCACGTCTGGCTATTATTATTATTTATTTATTTAAACCCAGAAAAAACGTGGTACAATATGCCACCAAGAAAGATGCGCCACACAATAATAATAAAACAACATAGATTCAAAGTAAAAATATACGTAGAGAACGGATAAAGAACTTCATCTGGAAGGAAACAGTCATGCTTAACAAGTTCAAACAGTTTTCGTTAACTATCATCGGGAAGGGAAGAAAGAAGAAAATTGCAACACGTTCGCCAGTGATTACGATTTTTGGCCATATCCGATAACGTTTCGAGCTATCTCGCGGACCCCAACCAGGTAGTTGTGACGCACCGACCGGTGCTAATCTAGCAAAAAAATCCTTCATCCGACGACGCCACGTCATGGACTGACCACCTCTCCGCTTTTTCCATCCCGTCCCAGGGCTAGCGAACAGCGACCTGTACGGAAGCCTCTGGGATGACATTCGCAGCAGATGTCTAAGCCACCGGAGCCGGTGTTTCCAGATGACGACACTCAATGAATGGTGATCTCCACTGTGCTCAGACACACGCCGCCGAACCTCAGAATTACTCACGCGATGATGCCATCCATCGAACGCAAGCAATCCTGCGGAGACAGCGGTGATCGAACACCCAAAGTCGCTGCCCATCCTCAGCTCGGAGAAGCCAGGTCTCACAGGCGTAGATGTGGGCAGCCTCCACCGAAGCATTGTATACCCAACCTTTGACAGCCAGGCTAACATCGCGACGGCGCCAGAAGTGGCTCAAGTTGATGTATGCCACCCTAGCCTTCATTATACGGTTGGAAATCTCATCCGTCACCCCTCCGCCAGCACTCACACTACTACCCAGATACACAAACTTATCAACAACTCCAAGCCGTTCACCAGCAAGATTGACTGCAGACTCCCACCAATCTTGTAACAATACTCGGCTCTTAGACGGCGCAAAGCGCATACCATACTTACAGACACTGATCACCAACTGATTAAGTGCGACTTGGGCAGCCTGCATGCTATCGCACAGTAAGACGATATCGTCTGTATACTCGAGGTCGAAAAGTCTGTCTCCAGGTAGCAGATCTACGCCACCTTCATGCGCATCCTTCAGAGCTGACTCCAGAATGTCATCGATGACAAAGTTAAAGGGAAATGGGGAGATTGGGCAAACCCTGTCTAACCTCACTGTTGGTTGGGAACAGTGATGATAGTTGGCTGTATGCCCTCACTCTACCTGAGGTGTTTCTGTATAAGGCTTTCAAGATGTTAACAAATTTCTCAGGTACACGTCTCTCTAACAGACAGTTCCGGAGCACAGCTCTGTCCAACGAATCGAAGCCAGCCCTAATATCAAGAAACACAACGATCGTTAGCCTGCAGTACGTGTGGCTAACTTATCTTAGGTATGGGGCCAGCTGTTGATCAAAGTCTGCTGCAGCCTGTTGAAAATGCTTTTCGTGATGCGTTCGTCAAGCCGCTGAAACATATAGAAGCACTGACTTGACATTAGTGTTGAAGATTCGGACCTTGTTATTTTTGTTAAGTTTTGAAGATCTGTACACTAACGAAAGTCCGTCATCCTTTTCTTTTGCTTGTATTGACATCCTCATCTGCGCCAACTTGTAGCTGACATGATGCTGTTCAAGTCAGATAAGTGAAACAAGTGACTTCCTTAAAATTTCCCCCGTTGGTAGTGAACGATGCTTGTTACCGTCACTGTTGTACATCTCCATCACTTCTGTCTCCTTTGTTTTCACTTGACATATTGTCTTTGCTGCCTCTTCTGTCAGCTTCTCGTTTTTCCCCTGTAGCTTTTCGAGTTTATTTGATATTAGATATAAATCATCCGTGAATTACGGGTTTTTTAGGGTCTTTTCGTCGATCCAATGTATGCATATATCATTGTCTTTTGCGTAATCTAGCCCACAATAATCAATATCATTAATGTTAAGGGTGATTAAATCCAAATGTGGGATCAAAATCCAAAAATTCTTCGACTGCTCATTTGGGCCAGTGGAGTAAGGTTATCTAGACTACGTAGCTAGGGGTCCTCGAGACACTAAGAACTAATAGATAGCGACTTAGTGGCATAACTCAAATGTGTAGATGCATTCACTGTCTATAAACCTCTAGGTCCATCAAATTTTTATTATTATCTATTTATCATTATAATTCCTTTGGGTTCTGAGTGGAACATAGGGCTTCAACAGCGCATCTTCACTGTACTGTTCTCTGAGGTTCTCTTGAGCAGGTCTCACGACTGCCCATAGTGTCTCATCTCTTAATACATTCTCCTCAATATCACTCAGACGTCCCACCCTGGGTTCCACTTGAGTGATGATGTGGTGCGTGATTTCACCCAACTCTCCCCTCAGCGTGTGTCTGATCCATCTATACTTTCTTCAGGATATTTCTTGAGCAATAAGTTCTTGATTGCTTTGTTATCAGAGTTTCTGGAAGCTAATCCTTTCTGGCAACCAAAGGCAGCATCTGACAAAAGTCTTCAGTAGCCTGTTGGAAGTACTTTTCATGACGCGCGCTGGCCAAGTTTCTTAGCCATAAAGAAGAACTGACTTAACATCGGTATTGAAAATCCGAATCTTGTTCTTTATGCCGACTGCAGAAGATTTTCAAACTGATTTCATCAGAGTAATGTAGAGACATGTACCTTACCTTTCCTATTCATATTGTGACATCTTCATCCGTGCTATCGATATTGTTTAGCGCTTGATTTTGTTGTTTTGTTTGATATCTTAATCACCTCCGTCTTCTCTATGTTTACTTGAAACCATGTTTTTTTTGGCTTCATATGTTAACTTTTGTTGGTTTTTTTCTGTAAGTCTTCGAGTTGATGTGATATTAGACTTTAATCCAGATCATTTAGAGTCCCTTTTGTTGATTCCGACACAATCCTGTCTTCGTGCTCCCATTCACATTTTCCTGCATAGTTCAATCCGCCGTAGTTAGGAAGTTTATCGGTGATAATAGTCACCTGTATTCACTCCAAATGCTTCGCTGAGTTTTCCCGTTGTGGATAACCTAACCTGTAACATTGTCATAAAGCTATTTGAATGAGGTCAATAAACATTTGTGGTAATCCATTGTGTTGAATTAGTTTTCAAATTACTTCGCAGTAAATGCTGTTGAAAGCCTTTACAAAGTCGATGAAGTTAAGACAGGTTTGACTGCCATTCTATACTCTGATCAGTATATGATTTACTTTTCCTGAATCCATTTTGTTCCGATCAGAATTCTGCTTCCAGTGTCTCTTTTAACCTCTCCAGGACGACACTAAGTAATATTTTGCTTGACCTTGCACCAATAATGATAATGAAGCTTTATTTTTCAGGTAATATTTGAACGCATAGTACAGAAATTTTCAGCGTATTTAGTTCCAAGATATTTCCTCTTCATTCAGGATTTACATGTAAAGTAATAATCTGACATAATGTGACATAGTGTTGCAGCACATGAAGACTGAACCAAATCTGTATTTTTTTTCTTAATTTGCTTCAAGAATTCCACAGCAATCAGTTGGTAGCTGATTAGATATGTGCGTGAGTTCATGCACTGGTCACAGCATGATTTAAACAATAAGAAATGCAGAAAACAGTTTAGGCATTTTGATGGGTGAAAATTCTTGCAGCTGGGTGATTAAAACAGGCTTCTAATGAAAAGAGCATATCATCTATAATATACTTATTTTCTGTCGTGTTCATTATTATATTATTGCCTCCTTTAGTTCCTAGAGGAACATAAAACTTCACTCATATGTCTGTATAACGTTCGGTTCTCCGCCAACGTTATCACCTGGCTCTACGTCTGCTCAAATGCTTTGATCTCTTCTTCACATAACCTCCTCCATTTTACCCTCACACTGATGACCAACTCGCCGATTCCCATTCGGGTTCCACTTGAGTGATGGCCTGGCGTGTGGTGTCATTTGATGGTTTCTTTTCTCAGAGTATGGCCAATCCACCCCCATTTCTTCCCGCATATTTGTTTCACAGTTGGTTCGCTCGCAGAGATCCATCCGTGTTGCTGATCTTTTCTGGCCATCTGATCTTAAGTATTGAGCGAAGACAGCTGTTGATGAAGGTCTGTAGTTTGTTCGAAGTGCTCTTCATAGTAAGTAGCACTGACTTCACATTGGAGTTGGAAATCCGGATCTTAATTTTCATGCTGAGTGCTGTTAATCTCCACACAGACTTGAGAGTAATGAAAGCTTGCCTTTCTTTTCCCATTTCGCTTCGATATTCTCGTCAGTTGCGTCGGTCTGTAGTTGAAATGATGCTTCCCAGGTAGTTAAAGAAGGTTGCTTCTTTCACATTTCTCCCATTTGTGCTGATTGTT